GGGGGGGCCGCGCTCGCCTCGGCTTCCCGCGTGTGGGTTGGGGCGGCGATCACGCGTTTCTTTACAGCCAGTCCCTTAACGATGACTCCGTGTCGCCTAGCGCCGTGACGGAAACGTGGCGCGTACCCTGTGCATACCGGTCCGTAGCGCTTCTTATAAATAGGTGCTTCTCAGTACTGTTTCTCTCTTGTTGCTTACGTTACGGCAACATCCTCATTGCCTCCGCTCACTAGCTCTGCCCTTTTTACGTCGCTGGACTTGAAATTATCAGAGGAAGTGGTGTCAAAGTGTTCCTTCTTTTCTTTCAGTAACTGGAATGAATCCTTTGTCTCCATATTTAAATTTGGACCCTCGCTATCTAGTACAGGTGAGAAGAATAGTTGTTTTTTATTGTATTGAACTTAATTCCACTCTTGATATGGTATGTACAAAGACCTCCAAATTCATGCAGTGCTATATAGCTATATAGTGATTAACTCTTAAACAGTTGAAAGGGGATGAATGATTGTTATTACTGTTCTTAATAAAATCTTGCAGTGGCATAGTGTCTAGGACAAGAAAATCAGTTTCGATATAGAGGGTAAATGAGGCTGCTCTGTCAGCATAATAGTCTGCTGCTCCTGAAAAGAGGAGGTGTTGCTCACTTATGTTTTTCCTTCTGCCTCCCTGCTCTCGGGCATGTGGCTGCATCACTGCCCCTGCCCCACTTCTGGCACTTATCAGACCCTCCACTGAGCCCATTCAACACATAAAAGTAGCCAGAAACTATCTACCTTTTTGATGGAATGTTTTTCTGTACTGTCGTGAGTTGGATGGTTCACAAAGTGGCTGATACAAACCGTGTAACAGGCATGTGCTGTCTCTACAGCAGCAGCGAATTCTGTCCATTTCCCCCATCTCATTTCTCAGCTGAAGTGAGACTGTTAGGAGGTAAAGCTTTCAGTTTTGATCTGCAGAATAACATACTTATTGTACTTCACAGCATAGCATTTAGTTAACATAACGTGATGGCCCATAGAGCCCTGGAACTGGTTGCCCAGAGAGGTTGTGGAGCCTCCTTCCTTGGAGGTACTCAAAAGCTATTTGGACACAATCCTGGGCAATGTGCTCTAGGTGACCCTGCTTGAACAGGGGGGTTGGACTAGATGATCTCCAGAGATCACTGCCAACTTTAACAATCTCACTTTCCTTATGACCGCCTATTACAGAATAGTTGAAGTTGGCAGTGATCTCTGGAGATCATCTATCAGTTATATTAAGCATAGCCAAAAAGGTTTAAGTTAATTCAATAAGAAAGCATGTCTTAATGATTCATTTAATTATGTGGCTTGTTTTTATCTGTGAACATTAAATTTTGCTGGAGTAGCACTGAAGGTAATCAGTTGTATAGTTTCTGCTAATCTGTGCCTTTTGTTTCATGATGCACTGCATCACCACTTCTTCTGCAAGTAAAAGACTCTGAATGCAGCTGAGGGAACTGTTTTTTCTATTTCTTCTTCACTAAAAGCTGTTGTGGTCAAGATTACAACATAAAATTCCTCTAAAGGCAGTAAACAAAGGATATGTCCCTGTCTGAGGTGAATTCACTAGTGCACTTGTCTCACCTGCTGTTGTTTAATAGCGAGGAAAAAAGGGCTAGTGATTATATAGATAGATCTCTTCCCAAAATGCCACCTGACATTGTCTCATTTAGCTAGTACAGTGTATCCGGGAACACAGTATTACAAAAATAGTATGAGATGAGAGTTTTTGGAGCAAAGTTTATGTATACTAATAGATCTAAAAATAAAAAAACTTACTTTAAAAGAAAGGAAGTTTAGTGTTGATGTCATGAGTAACTTACAAAACAGATCTAAAAATACCTGTTGCTGTAACACTATAGGTTAACAGAACAGTACGTGTTGTAACACTTGACTGCTCTTGCCATTTATCACTAGGAAGCGCACTGAAATAAAAGGAAATTCCATTTAAAGACTTAAAAAAAAATTACTGTAAGGGTGGTCAAACACTGGACCAAGGGTCCCAGATTCTCCATCTTTGGAGATACTCAAAACCTGACTGGATGTGGCACTGAGCAATCTCTACAGGTGACCCTGCTTTGAGCAGATGATCTGCAGAGGTCCCTTCCCACCTCAATTCTGTTATTCTAAAAATTAATGGAGAAATACTTGCCTAAGATTTTAAAATACGAGAACCTCAATTTTTAGCCCTTGAACTTGCTTTGTGTCTTAAAGTATGTGTGGAGGTGGGGAGTCCCTTGTTTTTAAAAGCAGAACATCCATTTACTTCCAGAATGCTGAGTGCACATTCCTGCCTAGAAAAGTCAGCCTTACTGTTTACAGTCTTACATTTTTTGATCCTGGTTTTTGCTTTTCCATTATAATGGGTGCTACAATGGTGCTCATAAGTTTAAAGTCCTCTTTCTTTTTTCCTTCTCTTAATGCAGGCACAAACCAATATGTTTTCTGCAATGCTTTTATCTTCACCAGGTATCCATTATAAAATACCATACCAGGCTTAGCCATAAAGCTGGAGGGTAGGCTTCCTAGGTGGTTGTCCCTACAGAAGGGTAGAGATTACATGCAGGTGGCAATTGCTTAACTTGACTTTTTGCAGAGTAGTGGAAACTAGTAATAAATTGCTAAGTAATCACACTCAGTTTCACACTCCAAATATCTGGCTACAGGGAACCATATTACAGGTTCAGTTTATTGATAGGGTATTCAGAAATTTAGAAGCCCTATATATTATCTACATTGCCAACCACCTGAAATAATTGCTACTGTGGCTGATATAAGTACCAGGTATGGACTAAGAAAACAGCTTAGAATGCAGTTACTTGAGACTGTGGTTGTACTAGTGATGTACTATTACATAGTGGATAAACTATTAACATGACTGGAAAGTGCAGAAGCATAAAGAGAGACCTTACTACTTCGGCACCGTATCAGCATATGTGCATCTCAGCAGTGTCCAATACTGCAGAAGTGCTTTGGTTGACCTTATCTCTACACACGTGCTAGTTATCGCATGGTTGCTCTTGGTATTCATCTTTTTAGACAAATCTGTAATACGAGAACACAAGTCTATTCCTGTGGAAGAAGAACACACAAATAAAACCAAACTACCAACTACATATTTTTTAGTTCTGACCACCACTAGTTTTGAATGTATTCCTTAGTTTCTCATGTCTCCAGACCAGGTCATTTATTTCAGTGCAATGAATTACTTAGTTTTTCTTTAGTTTCAAAGTAGTGGGAAAATCGTGATGCGTTAATTGCATCAGTATAGGTTACTCTATGAAAAACAGTGCTATATAATCAGACATCAGGAGGGTCACTAAAGAGCAGTTGATCTTGTATTACCTGCTTCAAATTATAATAAGTAATCAAGCAAATGCTTGTTAAATAAATCACACAATATGAGTTCCTCGGCTGCCTCATTTCATTTTTTAGAAGTTGGGACAGCTGGAAAAGGAAAAGCTTTCAACCTTTTTCTGTTTTAAAATCTTTCTTTATTCTCATTAAAATACGTAGGTGGGCTATTCCATTTGCATGTAGGTAGCAGTTACCTAGAAACACTGGTTCCTACTGTTTCCGTTTTCACTTTAGTTCATTATATGAATTAAAAAAATAACTGTAAATGTGGCTTACATTTTAAAGCAGGTATACTTGGAAAATAAAAAGTTAATAGTATTTAATTTATTTTTTCCAGGATACAGATGAGTTTATCTTGCCCACAGGAGCCAACAAAACACGAGGCAGATTTGAACTGGCCTTTTTTACCATTGGAGGATGTTGTATGACAGGTAGGTGGTAGTATTTTCTTCCCCCTCCCCCCCCCCAACTATCCAGGTAACACTAACGAGATCTTAAGCGTCTTGTTCTTCAGTCTTTATCTATAGATTTAGATAAACAGCTACTTGACTTCAGTCTATACACTTTCAATGTTCTCAGTGTTTGCTTCTAATATTGTTATTTTTGTTCCTTAATTTTTTTCCTTAAAAAGTAATAACTGATATTATGCTAACTAGGGGCAACATTGGGTGCGCTGAATGGTTTGCGGCTTGGCTTGAAGGAGACACAGAATATGGCATGGTCAAAACCTAGAAATGTACAGTAAGTGCTTAATCTGAAAGATGTATACACCTTAGCAACTGAGTTACTTCTTCCAGCTGGCACAGAGTTAGACCTGAATATACTGCAAAGATAAATATACTTTTGTATCTTTAGTGGGGACAACTGAGAGTCAGTATTTGTCATCAATTTATGAAGTGTCTTTGATTATAAAATTGTCAATTCAAGTTTTTTGCTTTCCAGTTAGCGACATCATTGTCCTCTGACTTGACTTAAATATGTGAGAAAGAATAAATGAAGCACCAAGTGTTGCTTTGATATTTGCTAGAAATCTGCTTCAAAGTAAAGACAATATTTTCATAGGTTGAAATAATCCCTAGAAGCAGCCCCATTTGAGGCATTTTTTGCTTTCACTTACCTGAGAGCGAGTTCTCTGAATTCTGGACCTTTCCGAAACCAGAAGAGATTAAACGTAGAAGCTGGGCCTGCCTGAATTTGCATTAAGGACAACATAGGGGCCTGCCACTGAGCGAGTGCTGCATGGCACAAGTTGTTCTTGGTTATGGCTTCCATAAAGACTCATAGCATTCCCATGTTGTCACCTCACCTGAATGTTTGAAAGAATGCAGTCAAGATAGGAATATGCTTTTCATGCAGAATGCTTCTCCTTCTAAAATTATATAGTATCAGTTGATTAGACATAACTATAGGAAAATTTAATTGCCTCGGAAGGGGGCATAGGAACCAAGAGGAGTGAAATAATGGGGGAAGGGGGGAGACATTTTCACCCTTCCACAATGCTTTGGAGGAAGGGAATATTAGAAGTTAATATTCATTAGTACAGTTTGGATTGGCTCTCATCCTTTTTAAATACTGTTTCTATGTTCTTCCTCCACTTTTCCCATCTCTACAATTAAAAGCGTGACCAAAATATTCCCTGCTATAATTATGGCTCTTCCATAATCCTCTAAATGGGGAAAGCTGTATTTTCTGTATATGAAATGAGCAAAGTTGGACAAAAACATGTTGTTGAGTGCAAACTTTGACAGGTCAAGCCCAGCAGGTGGCAGTCGGTGCACAGGCTGCTGCTAGTCCTTGCTCTTCAAGGGAAAAGGCACGTTGAAGGTCATCACCTTGAAATAGCATATTAAGTTCCATGTTTTCCTGATCAGACATAGGGAAAAGACATACCCATCTAGATTTTCTTTGATTTTATCCTTTATATACACTGAGGTTTTTTTTCTGGACTTGAATTTTGCTGTTAATACTCTGTATCTCCAAACCTTGTATTTAGCTTATTAACATTGCAAAGTTTCTCATCAGTTCAAAACTGATGTAATGTTAATAAAATGGAGGGAAGGAGTAGAAGATTGCCAGTACTCTAGCCTCCTTTTTTTTCCTCCCTCGTTTCAAAATGAAATTTCCCATAATCATTTGGTTCAGGTTTACCTAACCATATTAAGTAATGGCCTGTGTCTCCCAGTGAAAATCATAAAGGAAAAGTAATGGGAAGTGAACTCAAATGAGAAGAAACATAACGTGTGACATTTTGATTGCATTAAATGATGAACTAATTTCCAGTGGTAGTCAGCTGTCCAGAGCAGTACCATGCCTGTGATAGTGTTACACTGCTGGGAGATAAAGGTCAGTCATTTCTTCTGGCTGTTGTCACCGTTCTGGAGACAGCTGATGCCAGAACGAAGCGGCACTGTGCTTCCCTGAAAGCGTGCTAAGGATATGTTTTCTCTTTAGTGCTAGTCTGGAAGCATACATACGGAAATATTCAGTGCACTTTGCTTTTGTTGTGTATGCTGCCTTTGAGAAATGGCAATATGAAAGACTGCCTCTTTCCTCCCTGACTTGCTTTTGTTCAAGCTTGCCTTTGGCTCCCATCCCATTCTTTCAGGCATCACCATGCTCCCTCAAGCGTGGTCACTGCATCAGTCACACCTGCTAGAGGATCATTCTAGCTTTCTTTGAGATCTCCTATCCAGTTAAGTCAATCTAAGTGAATCAGTTGATCTGAATAGGTGCATATAGTCACCTTATGGAGAAGTTGTATTGACTAGGGCTGGAAAGTCACATTAAGGGAGAGATTGGTACAAGTTAGACTGGAAAAGAGAGGAACATTTTTCTTAAGTCTTGACAGGGCTAAATATTTCCCTTCAGTATTGCACACATTGCTATTTGTAATATGCATAGTATAGTAGAGGAGATTATGTATTACCAGGCTCTGTGCATTTCCTTCCAGTTGTATCTGTTTTTTGAATGGTTTTTTGCTTTGTTATTCTAGTTTTATTAATAAAGCAAGTGTACTTGCTTTATTAGAGTAAGTACTTCATGCCTATCATAAACCCCACAGCATTAATTTTGTAGCTTAGGACACTACCTTAGTGTAAATACAGACAGCTAAAGCTTTTAATACCTCTTTAATTCTCTTACAGAATTCTAAATATGGTGACAAGGCAAGGAGCATTATGGGCTAACACGCTGGGATCTCTGGGTAAGTAAACTTGTTATTTTGTAGGGTAAACTTAATTGATAAAGACGCAGCTATTTGAAGGGGAAGAATATACTTCAAAATTTTCATTATCAATTCTGTCAAGGGAAAAACTGCAACTTTTTCCTTTCAATCTAAGGGAAAGTCAGTAAGTATTGGAAAGGAAATTAAAGTCACTAAAAGAGGAGTTTAAGCACAAGTAGCTAGAGGCCTGGAATTAAAAACAAAATTTAGTGTAATAGAAGCAGGAACTCTAATCAGTCAGAATAACAGGAGTAACTGGGAATTATAATTGATAGTGCTTACTTGTTAATTCACAGTTTAAGGCAAAGACGTAGTATAAGTCCTTCTGAAATGATTTTAGCCCAGCTAGAAGAATCACATATGATACTGACCACATTAAATTCAAATGTGGACAGGTTAGAAAAAGAGCAGAGAAAATAATCAAAAGCCTGATGTGAAAAAAAAAACTTTTCTCTGGGCTGAGCTTAGGGGGGGGGGGGGGGGGGGAGAAATATCACCCTTTT